ATTGGCTATAGATTTGGTGGTCAGAGAAAGGCTCTCTGGGGAAGCAGCAGTAAAAGCAAGCTAAAAAGGATATAGGGAAGTCAGATGAAACCCAGCCAGCCAAAGAACACGATGGACTAAGTGTTGCTACAGTAACAGCCCCAAACTCTTAGTGGCTTAAAACAATGAAGGTTTATTTGTCATCCATGCTGTATGGCCTCAGACCAGAACTCAGACTTACAGAGCAGGGACTATTTGGGACATTGCCATTCTCCATGCAAAGACGAGAGTATGAGGTAAACTGTGTACTTGCTCTTAAAGTGAGTGGTATGGAACCACATACCACATTTCAGGGACCAGTGCTAGTCACAGGATTACATTTAATGTCAAGAGGGCAGGGATGTGCCATCTGACTTGTTCCACTTTCCCAGCCTCCCTTGCAGCTATTGGTGGTGCTATGATACCGTCTGAGCAGGGAAACCTAAGAAGTCTAATAGAGGGAATCACAAGTCAATTTTTGTTTTTGGTTAAAAGATAAGTACAGCTGACACAGCTTGCTCCTTCCTCTTGTCTTAGAGGAGGATGCTATTCTGGAGCTGGCTGGCCATTTTGCATAACAATGATAAGCCACACTTTTTTTTTTTTAGAAGACTTTATTTATTCATGAAAGACAGAGAGAGGCATAGACATAGGCAGAGGGAGAAGCAGGCTCACTGCGGGCAGGGGCCCATGTGGGACTTGATCCCAGGACCCCAGGATCACACGCTAAGCCAAATGCAGATGCTCAACCACTGAGCCACCCTGGTGCCCCAATAAGCCACACCTTAAAGAGAAGGGACTTCGGTATCCTGAGTCCTTGATGACCTGATTTGCAGCTGAACTAATGCAAGAACTACCTAATCCTGAATTTATTATGTGGGCAAAAAATGAAGCCTATTTTTAAGCCTGTTACTTGGAACCAGGAGCATTTCAAGACTATGTGGGTGCAAGAGATGAACAGATACTGTGCCTGACGCCCAGAAAGTCACCTTCCTCACAGACCTTTCTCAGACTGGGTCAGCAATGCAGGAGCCAAAGAAGGCCTATCTTGCTTTGTAGTGCTGGATAGTAAAGCAGAGGGAAAAGGCATCTCCCATCCTATTCCTCTTTTTGGGCTCCCTATACCAATACCAATACCTTGGTACCAATTCTCCCAGTTCCAATTCCCTCCCTTTTAACCTTTCTCTTCTGGGGTGTCTGGAAATGGCTATGTCTTTTCATGTAAATTATCCTAGGCACTATTAAATTAGGACAATTTCTAAAAGAGATCTGAAAGATCGGGCTGTTTAGTATTTGGTGCCAGCCTATGGATTTCGTCCCATCCTTTCCCAGTCTCAGAGAGAGCTCCCAGTAAATGTGGGACAATTAGCACCAGTTGTCTTAGAAATTCCCCAACCAGTGGGTTGCGACCTTTAAATTCTTGCTTCCTTGTGGCGTGATTTACATGGGGCCCCAAGTCTTTTCAGACTCTGGAACTGAACTAGGTGAAGCCTGATTGCTAAATAGACTGTTGTCAGTAAAGCACAAAGAAAGATGCAATAAAAATGCTTTACTTTGGGGGCCCCTGTGGCTCAGTCGGTTAAGCCTTCAGCTCAAGTCATGATCTCAGGATCCTGGGATGGTACCCTGAGTTGGGCTCCCTGCTCAGGGGGGAGTCTGCTACTCCCTCTACCTCTCCCTACCCCTCCAACTTATGCACACACTCTCTCTCAAATAAATAAATAAGATCTTTAAAAAATGTTTCTGTTTATGGCCATAATTTCTCCAAGTGGTTTCACTCACTCTGAGGAACCACTAAGTGATTAAGGAACTGGTAAGTTGAAGTGATTCAGGCACCTGATCGTGGAATTTTTTTTCCAGAAGAGAATTTGCCACTGGAATGTCCTGGAACACCCCTGTTTTTTTCAGTTTATTGCTCTTTAGCCCACCAGTCCATTCAGATAGGACTGCTGTCCATGATTGCTATCTTTGTTCTACCCATTTTAATCACTTTGGCTTCTTTTTATCATTGTTGCATGCATTGTTGTAGATTTCAAATAAGTAGTGTTTTATGTCTCCTGTGCCCTGAGATGTTCAAACATCTGTTGTGATTCCTTAGATAACGCATTTGTGGTTTTCAAATGAGAACTCATTCTGTTATTTTAAAGCTTGTAGCTTCTGCAAGTTTTCAAAAGTAAATTGTATGGAGTTTTTCTTACATTCAATTTCATTAAGCTGGTTGTTGACAAAGAAAAGGACATAAGGGTACTTAGTAAGCTCTAAATCAGGGATTAAGAAAATTTGTTATAGGTTCTTGTTTGTGTTTTGGTGGATATGAACGAGAACTTAAGAGCACTCTCTAAGTCTGCCTGTTGTAATACATGAATTATCTTAGTCCTCCTCTTGACTAACATCGAGGATAATGGGAGTCCTTAGCAGAAATTCTGTTTTGACTCATTTTTGTCTCTGAATACCAGAATGCCTGGTACACAGTAGACACTCAAGAAATGCTCATTAGATGAATGAAGGAGACAATTAATCAAAGGTTTTTAGAAACCTTACTCCTGGGCACCTGGATGGCTCAGTGGTTGAGCATCTCTGCCTTTGGCTCAGGTCATGATCCCGGGGTCCTGGGATCGAGTTCCACATCGGGCTTCCTGCAGCAAGCCTGCTTCTCCCTCTGCCTATGTCTCTGCCTCTCTCTGTGTGTCTCTCATGAATAAATAAATAAAATCTTAAAAGAAACCTTACTCCTCCCTTTTAAAATTCCCCATTTAGGAATCTCTCATAGGCTAGGAATTAAAAGACCTACTTTCTGGTTTTATGTATGCTACTCACTGTCTTTAACATGAATGACATAATATTTCACAAGTTAGTTTGAAGGCTCCAAATAGATAACAAAAAGTTTATGACATTTAAGTACCTTATAATCTGACACAGAGTTGGGTCATGAACAGTATATTCAAGAAAGTCAAGTAGTCATTCCTGCTTTAGGGGAGATGCTAGTCTAGTTGGCATAACAAAGCTCAGTATCACAGATGCAAAAGGAAATGATATGAGATGTGTGAAATGGTTCTGGGATATTTGTTTTTTCTGGAACATAGAAATGTTGTGTTCAAGAAGGGACTGGAGGGGCGCCTGGGAGGTTCAGTCTGTTAAACGTCTGACTCTTGGTTTCAGCTCAGGTCATGATCTGAATCTAGGTTCCATCATGAATTAACTGTCCACTATGGCAATGATTCATCCACTACACTTTGGTCTCTTGATTTCTAAAATGGGGGTAATAATGTTCTTACATGATTGTTCTGAAGATTAAACAAGATAATATATGTAAAGGAATAGCACAGCAGGGAGTCTGCTGGAGTTTCTCTCGGCCTCCCTCTATCCCTCCCCCTGCTCATGTGCTCTCTTGCTCGCTCTCTCAAATAAATAAATCTTTTTTTTTTTTTTTAAAAAAGAAGGGACTGGAGATCAATAGTAATAAGGAATAGCATGCCTTTGAACCTTTTTTTTTAAAAAGATTTTATTTATTTATTCATGAGAGACAGAGAGAAGCAGACTCCTTGCAGGGAGCCCGATATGGGACTCGATCCCGGATCCCAGGATCCTGCCCTGAGCCAAAGGTGGATGCTTAATTGCTGAGCCACCCAGGCATCCCTGCCTTTGAAACTTTTAAGTGGAGATGAACTTATCTTTTAGAGTAGCGTTTTCCAAATTTGGCAGTATGTTAGAAAAAATAGTCACACTTAAAAAAAAATGCCATCAGAGTCCAGATGGGGAGGGAAGAGTGAGACTCAAGAATCCATATCCTTTAAAATCTTCCTAGGTGATTCCAGCGTATAGTCAAATCTGAGCCCAAATGTTCCAAAGCTGTGCTTCTCAGGCTCTGATTACCTTTTTTTTTTTTTGGTGTGATTTTGTGAATATGCAGAATCTGATCCAATAGGTCTGAAGTGGGGCCTGAGATTCTGCATTTCCCAGTGAGTTCCCTGGTGGCACCGTTGCATCACTTTGAGTAGCCCATTTCTAATGTGTATATTTTTTAAAAAATTACATGTCAAGTAGTAAAAGAAGGGCCATGCAACTAGCAATTATTTAGTATATGCCAGGAACCATGCTGGTACCTTTACATATATTACCTTGTTTAATTTTCAGAACAATCATGTAAGAACATTATTACCCCCATTTTAGAAATCAAGAGACCAAAGTGTAGTGGATGAATCATTGCCATAGTGGACGTTAATTCATGATGGAACCTAGATTCAAACATAGGTGTATCTGACAGCAAAGACCAGAGGTCACTGGAAGTTGTTAGAAAGCCTCAAATGCTAAGCGGAAACATTTAGATCTGAAGTGTAGAAAACTCTTTATTGGATTACTTAAGGGAAGTATCAGTGTTGCCATGTTTGACTTACCACTCTTGCTTCACGTAGTATATCCACACAGGTAAAGAACATAGTATTGTGCAAGCTGCCAGGTGGGTTGTGCTCCAGTGTGATGGTATTAAAGATATACTGGAGACGTTAGAATAGAGTGGGAATAAGTACTAATAACAAAATAGTAGTGCTAGTGGAGGATGTCAGAATTCATTTAAAACACAAACGAGGGCAGCCTGGGTGACTCAGTGGTTTAGCACCGCCTTCGACCCAGGCTGTGATCCTGGAGACCCAGGATCGAGACCGTGTTGGGCTCCCTGCATGGGGCCTGCTTCTCCCTCTGCCTGTGTCTCTGCCTCTCTCTCTCTCTCTCTCTCTGTCTCTCTCATGAATAAATACATAAAATGTTGTGTTTAAAAAAAAAACACAAACGATATGTTTTTCAACTACTGATATCAAAGGATTGTTGATTCGAGAGAGAGAAACCATGTTTTCTGTAAGTATCTGGCTCTGACTACTTGATTCTTTCAAGTATTCTTCCAAATGAAAATACCTCTTAAATAAAGAGAACTCTGCTCCTGTCTACTTTTTTTTTAAGTATTTTTTTTTCTCTCTCTCTCCTTCCAGGAAGCTGAAAAATGAACTCTTAGAAGCAAAACGTAGAAGTGGGAAGACTCAGCAAGAAACCAGCAGAGTCTGTGTTCACTGCCAGAGAAACCTGGGCTTAATATTTGACCGAGGAGACCCGTGCCGGACCTGCTCACTGAGAGTGTGCAGCGAGTGTCGGGTCTCGGGCCTTGATGGCAGCTGGAAGTGTACTATCTGTGCCAAAGTCGCGTGAGTTCCTTGCCTTGGTGTGGAAAGCCAGATTCGATGACTGAAGGGCTTGGAGTGGGGAAAGAAAAAAAGATAAGAGTGTTTACAATTTAGGGATAGGGGGCACTTGGGTGGCTCAGTAGTTGAGCTCAGGGCGTGATCCCGGGGTCCTTGGATCGAGACCTGCATCGACTTCCCCGCGGGGAGACTGCTTCTCCCTCTGCCTATGTCTCTGCCTCTTTCTCTGTGTCTCTCATGAATAAATGAATAAAATCTTTTAAAATAAAATGAAATTCAGGTATAGAGAATAGAATTAAAATCTAGCCCAACACAGGCTCAGCAATGCCTTTGTAGAATTCAGGGGTGGGAAATGATGATGCATGAGCGAGCATACACAAGCAAAATAGAGAATGGCATTTTTAGTTTTAAAAACTATAAAATGGTAAAATTGGAAGCCTCACAGAAGGAGATCTCTTCCTACGTTTGAAAACCACCCACAAGCTTTTCTTCACTTAAGCCCCACCTGACTCCACATGTCTAATCGGAGGCAGAGGCATTTCCCCAAGGCCATCTGTAGATGTTTGGGGCTACTGGCAGGATGAGTATGAAATATCCAGCCTACTATCCACAGCAGCCAAGGGGCAAAGCTTTTTTGAATCTATTGAAATGATCGTATGGTTTTTATCCTTTCTCTTATCAATGTGATGTATCATGTTGATTGATTTGTAAATATTGAACCCCCACCTCTTTTTTATCTTTGTATTCTGATATGGAGAGAGATATATGCTAAACTCTCTCAATGCTTGTGGATTTTCTATTTACCCTTTTAATTCTGATAATATTTGATTTATATATGTTAAAGTGATAGTCTTGAGTACTTAAATATTTTGGATGTGATATTTTATGGGTGTACAGAAACCTTTTTCATTATGAATATTCCATCCTGATTTCTAGTTATGATTTTTTTCCTTAAAGTTTACTTTGTTGTTATGACTGCAACAGCATTTTTTGTGTGTTTCTTTTAGTACATGTTTGGTAAATTCTCTTTTATCCCTTTAACTTTTAATCTGTTTCCTTATATTTAAGGTGTATCTTTTATAAGTAGCACACAATTGTGTGTGTGTGTTAAATCCTGTCTGACAGTTGTCATTAATTAAAATACTTATTCCATTTGTACTAACAAAATTACTCATATATCTTACTTAAAATCTACCACCTGTTTACTCTTTGTCCCATCTATTCCATTCTTTTTTTCTATTTATTTGCCTTCATTTAGGTTGTCTAAGTATTTTTTTCTATTTCTCTGTTATTTAAACATTTATATCACTTGTCTAATGATTACTCTAGAAATTATAACATACATTCTTGACTTATTAAAATCTAATATAAATTAGGGACACCTGAGTGGCTCAGTGATTGAACTGAGTGAAGGCTCAGTGGTTGAGCCTTCAGCTCAGGGCATGATCCTGGGGTCCCCGGATTGAGTCCCGCATTGTGTTCTTTTAAAGATTTATTTTTATTTATTTATGAGAGAGAGAGAGAGAGAGAGAGGCAGAGACACAGGCAGAGGGAGAAACAGTCTCCATGCCGGGAGCCCGACGTGGGACTCGATCCCGGGACTCCAGGATCGTGCCCTGGGCCAAAGGCAGGCGCGAAACCGCTGAGCCACCCAGGGGTCCCCCCACATTGTGTTCTTTTAAAAAAAATAAAATAAATCTAATATAAATATAAATTAGTACTTTTGGCTCTTCTAAGGTAATACCAGATTCTTAAAAATCCTTCAACTCCCTTTACTCCCCTTTCTACTGCTATTGTATATATTGTACTAAATATCTGTATATCCCTTTACTCCCCTTCTACTGCTATTGTACATATTGTATTAAATATCTGTATATCTATATCTGTACACATATGCATACACATATATTTATACCTACATAAATGCACACACATATATACTTTGTCTTAGTCCACCCAGACAGCTGTAATAGAAGGACATAGACTGGGTGGCTTATAAACAACAGAAATTTATTTCTCACAGTGTTGGAGACTAGGAAGTCCAAGATCAAGGTTCTAGGTGTGTTGTCTGCTGAGGACCTGCTTCCTGGTTCATAGGCAGCCTGTGTTCTCATTATGTCCTCACCTTATGAAAGGGGCAACGGAGCTCTCTGGGGTCCCTTCATAAGGGCAACAGTCACCTGCCAAAGGCTTCCCCCCAAATGCCATCACAATGGAATTATGTTTCAACATGGATTATTCATTCAGACTAACATACTTAATCTCAGAAGATACTATTTTATAGTCAGTATGCACTTAGACTTACAACACTGTTATCCTTTCCATTGCTCTGTATTTTTTATTATTACATTTTCATGTTTCCTTCTGGGGTAATTTTCATTCTGCCTAAATGGGACTCTTCAGTATTTCCTTGGCATAGTTCTTCTAGTGATAAATACTCTCAATTTTTGTTTTTCTTAGTGATGCTGTATTTTACTTTCAATTTTCAAGCATGTTTTTGCTAGTTATCGAGTTCAAGGTTAGAAGTAGTTAACTTTCACTTATTTGAAGACGTTACTCCATTGGGTTTTGGCTTGCAATGTTTCTGTTAAGAAATCAGATGTCACTATGTTGTTGATTTTTTAAAAAGTATGATTGAGCCTTTTACGATGTGGGATTAAGGGTACTGATCCCCCACATAGTCAAAAATCCATGTGTAACTTTTGACTCTGAAAACTTAATAGCCTCTGTTGTCCAGAAGCCTTGCCAATAACATAAATAGTTCATTAGCACATATTTTGTATGTTACATGTATTATATACTGTATTTTGACGATAGAGTAAGCTAGAAAAGAATTTTATTAAGAAAATCATGGAGAAGAGAAAATACATTCATAGCACTGTATCATATTTATAAATACTATAAGTTTACATCATCTGTTTACAAGATGAATCATCTGTCAGAAGCTGTACCAGTATTGTCTTCTATGATATAAAACACTGTAGATGTTAGGGGAACCTGGGTGGCTCAGTTGGTTAAGCAGCCAACTCTTGATTTCACCTCAAATCAGGATCTCAGGGTCCTGGGGTCATTCCCCACATCAGGCTCCACATTCAGTGGAGAGGCTGCTTGAGATTCTCTCTCTCCCTCTCCCTATGCCCCTCCCTCTGTTCACACGTTCATTCTCTCTTTCTCAAATAAATAAATAAATTTTTAAAAACACTGTTGATATTATATATATTATTAACATTAGACCTGAAAAATGAGAAGATAATGTGAAAAAGAAATTGACATTTATTTACAGATATAACAGCTCATGTATTGATAATGAAGAAGAAGCAATATGATTGCTTTTTGGTAGGCTAGTGTAATTGATACTCTTGCTTCATGGTAGCATGAATGCATGAGTTGTTATAAAAATTTTTATAGTATATGGTATTACAATCATATTAATAATACAGTTTTAGAAACGTTTTAATATTTTTAAAAACCACTTCCCTGCAATGATAGGCTAATACACAGTTTCTCCAACTAGTAGAGAAAAGCTTGCTGTAAGGGTAAAGTAAATCTTTGAAAGCAAAGTTAGAAAACAGTAAGAAAACGAATACATTATTAATCTTATATTAATTATCATTCACCTTATGCCTATGTGAGGCTAGACATAACCGCTTCTGTATATGTCTTGCACACAGTGTTCTACATGATAAATACTTAGGCAGTAAAGATGATGACACAAAAATGTCTTATACATTTCTTGTACAGTTAGATTTTCACACAGAGACACACATATGTAATGGATAATTTTGTTAGCCATATGTACGTATAAGTTTATTATGTATGGCATGATGATTATTTACTATTTGTTAAGTGGGTGGGCCACCATAAAGGTCTTCATCCTTTTCTCTCCATGTTGAGTGGGCTGAGGAAGAGGAAGAGGAGGAATTGGTCTTGCTATCTCCAGGGTGGCAGAGGCAGAAGAGGTGGAAGAGGTGGAAGGGAAGGAAGGAGAGGCAGGCACACTCAGTATAACTTTACAGAAATATATAATTTCTGACATTTTTGCTTTTTCACTTCTCTAAAACTATTTCTATATAGTACCAATCCTCCTCCTACCACTTGCTTCAGCTTCAGTGCCCAATCATAGAAGGGTCCATGTTGTAAAAGAAGCCAAAAGCCATACTGAATAATCGAGACTGTTCTGCCCAATTGTCTAATGCCACTTTATCTTCTGGCACCACTTCTACGTCTTTTTCTTCTTCATCTGGACTGGTTCAGAAGCACTCATGTCCATCAAATCATCTTCTGTTAAATCCTGTGATGTGGGGTCTGTTAGCTCTTGAACTTCTTCAAGATTCACACCTTGAAACCCTTTACCCCTCCCCTTCACCTTTTTTGCCATTGCTACAATCTCTTTCATGATTTCCTTGATTGGCTCTGTATAAATCCTTTGAAGTCACACACAACATCTGGACACAGTTTTCTCTAGCAGAAATTTATTGTTTGGGGCTTGATGGTTTTCATGGCTTTTCCTGTAACAACAATGCCATTTTCACTGGCTTATCCTCCCATACTTTCATGTTCTCTCTATCAGGGTGCTCTCCATAATGTTGACAGTTCATTCCATAGAGTGCCATGTATAATGAACCTTAAATGTCCTTATGACCCTCTGATCTACAGGCTGAATTAGAGATATTGTGTTTGGGGCAAATAGACTACTTCAGTGGCCTTGGTGTTCTGAACTCATGGGATTCTAGGTAGCCAGGGGCATTGTCCAATATCAAAATAACTTTAAAAGGCAGTCCCTTACTGGCAAGGTACTTCCTGACTTCAGAGAAAAAGCATTGATGAAACCAATTTAGAAGAAGGGTTCTCATTGTTCAGGTCTTCTTTTGGTACAACCAAAACACTAGCAGCTGATGTTTCTTTTTCCTTCAAGGTTCAGGGTTTAGCAGCTTTATAGATAAGGACAGTCCTGATCACAAACCGAACTGCATCTGCACAAAACAGATGCCTACAGTACAGTT